AGTGCGACCATCTCGTCCGGTGCCTCGTGATGAACTGATTTTATATGACATAGAAAAGAAAAGAAGAAAGAAGATAGGTTTCTTAAAGTGAGATATGTAGGACAATCAATAGAAGAAGAAGTGAAAGAGAAATAGCAGAACACAACACCCTTGTCTCGGAGCATCTGATCAAATTCGTTTGAGAAGATGTAGGGTTAATGAAGCGGCAGGCTGCCGGACACCGCAGCCTCGGTGTTGAGCGCACCGAACGGACCCTCTATGTAAACTCGGGCGACCTGGAGGCACACACTGTGCTCCTCGACCACCTGCCTGATCCACGGACAACCTCCTGTATACCCGTTGGGGTTAACGTAGATTGAGTGGATCACGTTCATTGTGGCAGCCGAGTCTCGGAGAACCCTGCACGCCTTTCCGTTCTCCGTCAGGTCGCTCAAGCACGGCTCCAGCAGCCACCTGTTCTCCTCGTTCTCGCTTATGTATGAAAACACGACGTTGGGAGCCCTACATCCGGCCGCGATATGCCCCGGTTTCTGACACTAGAAGCACACTTTTGGCTCCTTGGCTTCAAACGCCCTCTTTTGTTCAGGCTTTGTGCCCGAACACACCCTGATCGTTTGATGTTCCTCATTAGGACGACTCCTCCTTTCGTTACCTTGGGTTTTGGGCGCTGCAGCCTTCTTTGTGAGATTTTCTCGTTCTCCGAATTTTCCTTTTCGTGAATAGCTTTTTGGCTCTGTGTCCCGGCGACCCGAACCATAGCGGTCCTCCTCGCGAAGGTTTCTGCGTACCGCGTACTGCTCTGCCAGCTCTGCTGTCCTCTGAGTTGTTTTTACTTCCTTCTGGTCTAGGATCCAGAGTCGCGTCTGGTCTGGGATGGAGCGGTAAAACTGCTCCAAGCGGAATTACTCCACCACGCTTTCGAGATGGTCGAACACTTCAGCACTCTTTAGCCATTCAATGAGATTGACCTTTAGGTCAACTCAAGGTGTGATTCGTCCTTCCCCTTTTGGGCCTGTCAAAAGCGCAGCCGGAGCGCCTCCGTGAAGAGACGGTATCTCTTTAGGAGATTCGGCTTCACCACATCGGAGCTCTCAGCGTCCTTCTTTGAGAGCCACGCTACGACGTCGGCTGCTTGACACGGCATTAGGGTTAGCCGTCTCTGCGGCCAGCTGTGGCGAGCGAACGCTACCTTCTCGCAAGTCCACTTGAAATTCACAAGAAACAAGCCAATATAACCTCCTACCTTATAGGGCTGCATAAGGTTTTTCATCTCAAAGGATATCCTGTCTTCGCCGCCAGAGCCCGCTCCGCTTCCGTCGTCCGATGGACGTCTCTTACTAGTTTCTTGATCTCTATCTCCTGCTGTTGCCTCTTTAGCTCAAGATCAAGCTCCTCGCGACTGATGCGGTCGCTTCGCTCCCTCTTTTCGAACTCCTCTCTCTTTGTGTCCTTAGCTAAGTCCAAACTCTCCGCAAGCTCATCCGGATCTGCTCCCGTGGCTTTCATAGCCTCAATGATGAGCGCCTTCGTTTTGTTTCTCACCCCCTCCACACCCAGTTCCTCGCAAATCAATATTAAATCTGCCTTCCCTAACGAACTGAGGTTCATGATTGCTCTGAATGTGGGCTCTGTTACTATCCTGACGGCTTCGTTAAAACCCACGCCTCAGAATAGTCTCAACCACCCGCTTCGTTTAACAAACAGTTAATTGTAGCGAAAGCCTGGTGTGTCTTGAGGGACAGAAGCCGAACACTCACCCACATGTGTGGCCATCGGTTCGTGGAGTCTGGGGGGGGGGGGGGGGTCTTGATCAGCATTGTTCAGAATCCCACCGCTGCCATCCAGCTGTTATCAGTCGACACACAGCCTGGTCTCTCGTGTAGCATGGCTATCTCGCTGGCGTCCAACCCTTCTCGCGGACAACGTCCTAGCCAGACAGTCGGGGAAACAGATCGGGAAAACTTAACAGGACGGAAAACTAGTTTATTTACATGGGTATATCGTGTAGCATACTGGCAAAAGGAGCGCACCTAATGGGCAGCGGACAGGTCGTTATATAATAAAATTGGGGTTCTGGAGCTGCCGTGCCTTTGGTTTAGTGCCGCATTCCAAAGTTGGCCTCGACGTCAGCAATCTCCTCTCGGCCCCGATGTTATGTCGTTGTTCTTCTCCGAATTGAAGGCGCCTAGTAAGGGATTGTCTTGCATGCGGTAGACGCAGACACAGCAGACTGCCCATCTGTTCAGGGTCGGATTCTTTCTGGCGTTCTCGTGGAACGCAGACGCCTCCGTGGAAGGCAGACGCCGTTGACAGAACACACCGACGGCAACGTTCTCGTGGAAGGCAGACGCCGTAAGCAAGACACACCGACGGCAACGTCGGTTCCGATGCCCTTGAGCCCAGGCCCGAGAGAAACGCTTCTCCGGTTTCGGTCGAACCTGCAAGAAGGGTTCGGATCGCACGTCAACCGTCTCGACATTCGCTTGGTCGTCGTCCGCACCGGAATGCAAGGTCGATCCTCACAAACACAGGGAGATGGAGACGGGTCATAACAGCGTGCAGAAAGTAAAATGACCTTACGTTCGCCATGTTTGTCGGCGAGTATTTAACCCATCTAGCTAATAGGAGACAACTGCGTCGTCCGACTGGGTTTGTCCGTCTATTTCGCCGTGTTTCGTCGCCAACTTCAGTAGCTCCTGCGGTACAGTTGCCGTGAAAGTATCTTTGGCGTCACGTCCGTTAGGTGGGACGGGGGACCCCGACAAACAGGTAGCTTTCTGGTGTCGTTTGTTGTTGTTCATGGTTCACGTTGGTCGCTATCGTTTGTTGTTCTTTAACGCTCTAGTGGCACTAAGCTCTTAATGGAATGTAAGACCACAAAATCATCGATCTTAAAGAAAGCATATTAGTGGAAAATATGTCGAAGCGCTATAAAAGCAAAGCTATATGTTTCCAGTGAAAATAATGGACGACAAGATTTGATTCCTTATTGCGCATGCAGCGCTCGAGGCATAAGAACGGGTGCTTGCAATTACAGGTCTCTTACGAGCCGCGTCCCAAATAGTCGTGGGCCGCATGCGGCCCGCGGGCCGCGCGTTTGAGACCCTTGGATTAGACCATCCCAGCCACTGGTTTTGGCGGACTCAATTTTTGACCAGGTCTCTCTGCACTGTTTGTTTCGAGTTCACTTAACTTGGTAGACGACAGCCGTTCCTTATTTAAGGCCCATGCTAGTATCGAGTGGCGGCGGTAAATTAGCATGTCATTTCAGCTTGCAAACGTCGAAAAGGGTTCCTCATCCAAGGTTTTTCAAGAACCAATCCTCCCCATGGAGACAGGTTGTACCGTATTTATATATTGGAAGTGAGGGAAGATTGACAAGTGCACCCGTAGTAATATTGTGAACGGAGAGGGGAGAGAGTGATTTCTAAATTTAATGCAATAAAGTTAGGGGAGGGCAAATCGGCTACGGCGTCGCCCCGGAAAGGCGAAGGTTGTGGGTTCGATCCCCACTCCTAGCCCAAGCACGGAATATGTTTTATCCCCCGATCCCCATGGAGTTCCCTTATGATTTACTCCAACATTTAGCTGTAATGGCTGGCTGTAGTTAAAATTAGGAACCGAAAAAATTACGCCCACATAAACCATATAAGAAGACACCACTTCGAATTCCTGGCAGCGTTTGAACTCACCACCTTGAGACTGCAAGCCAAGTGCTCTACAGACTGAGTTACTCAGGAGCAGTAGATACTGACACGGAAAAGCGAAGTCAATGACGCGACGCGCGAAGGCGCATTCGCGCGCTTCGTGGATTATCCTGTCATGCTGTATCCTATCGCACAGTGTGTGTCAGAAATGAGAGCGCACCTTCGATAGGCGGTGCTGTTCAGACACCCTTCTCTTCTTTCTTAAAGTTCACCTATCACATATTCTGCCCTTACCAGTCTATGTCACCATAATCAAGCTTTTATATACATATTTTGTTCTTTAGTTTTGGTGTGGCGGACTCTAGACAGCCTAACTGTCATTAAAAAGTACGGAGATGAATTTTTAAAACTTTTGCTTATTAAAACTGCTTTAGCATATTTGAATGACGGGCTGCAAATATATATTTAAAACGTGCCAAATAAGGCATATATAAAAAAAAAAAACGAACTAAAATATTTCAGGTAGATAGATTACTATCTCCTTTCGTTGTGGCCCTAAGGTCCGTCTCCCTCAACGCTTAAGAGCAACCTATATCAGAGAATGCCTTGTCTCTATCATCCGGTATGTAACATTTATTGACTTGCCGGATCGTAGCGCGCTGGTGAGTTACAGAGATCAAATGAAAGCGACCTAAATGTCAAAGGACAAATACAAGGCAAAACACCCTGTCTTCGTTTTTTACCTTGCTATTATTTTATCTCTCTAACATTTAATGTTGCGGATTACAAACACCGACGGTGGTTCTGTTTGTTTCTTAGCTGTAATACAGTTGCAAAATTATATTTAAGAAACTTGTTTACCATATAAGCAATATGCCGCGCAGATGAGAGTGAAAACAGACAGAATTCGCCCTACAATTGTAGCAGGTAGTTTTAACAATGCGGTACCACAGGCTTGGCATTTTACTGGAGCCTCGCGCTGTGATTTGAAAGCATGCTCTTCAGCGGGCTCCAGGAGCCGACTGTGGCAGCAGCCAGCGGTAAGGCTCCGCTAAAACTTCCTAGTGTAGTACTATCGGGGAAAAATTAAATCCGAACAGAGGAGCGCGAGCCACGTGCTCCTCTGTTCGCATTTCATTTTTTCCCAATAGTACATCTGTAACGTAATGTTAACCAGTGATTTTCTACTGCGGTTTAGGGAGGATGGGAGGTTGTATGAGTCAATTACAAGATTTTCTATATAAAGTACAAATGTGCAATATTGATTTATAAGTGGTGATGCGCAGCCTCACGTAACGGCTACGTTATAGACGCACTCGTGCAGTGTCTAACGCACATGTCCAATCGCTGCAGAGGATGCATGCGCCGTGGTCGTTCCCGAGAGCAAACTAGAAGAGGATACCACTTGCTGCGATTTTGTGTACGCCCTGCTGTGCGGTGCCACAAAATATCAGATCCATGACGACAGCTGTACGAAGCAAGGCTGACAAAGGAACTCCCATTTTGATGCGCGTGAAGCTCAAAATGTAATTCCGCTCAGAGTTAAAAAAAAAAAAAAAACTCGAAAATAATGGTTTATCATAGTGCGCGAAGTACAACTGACAGTAGTAAGTTACACTCCGAAAAACTAAGCCTATAAAAACACTGAAAACTTAAGAAACGCAGGGCGTGGTCTGTCAACAGTGTGTCTATCGCTTCCTGATTTGTTCGTTGACGTCCTCATTGGCTGCAGAGAGATAAAGAGGTGCGAATGACTCACCACGCTTTGCGCTTATAAAGTTGAGCTGGCTGGGACTATTCTTGCTTCTTAAAGTTTTAAGAGAAGCACGGTTTCAAAGATCACTCCCTGCTATCTCCTCGGATTGTTGTTTTTATTATGTTTTTTAGAGCACCCCGAACACGAATGTATCCCCCTACACTTTTTTGTTAAAACGTATTACATTTAACGGCACCACGCATATCAGCGCCAGTATTTCGGCCAAGGTGGTGGGAATGTTGTACTAATGGTTTGCGCTCCCACGCTAATAAAATGTTCGATGTGTACGTCGTGTGTGAATTTTCTCGGCGCGGGTTCGGTATTTGAGGATGATTTGTGTCAACGACCGGAAAAGATAAAAACTATAGAGCCGTATAACTGTTTCCAAATACCAAGGTTACGCTATAAACACTAATCCCACTGATGAATCAACAGCCAAAATGTTACTGAGATGCCAAGTGCTGCTAGAACTGGCCTCGGGCTAAGCTGCCGAAGGCCCAGAGAACTCCGTTTACTCTATACTTCGTCTCTGGTTACAATGAACCTTAGATGACGCTACAAGGCATGGGAGACAATCCAATGCAGCATAAGTGTCACGTGACCTTAGGGAGGGACACAGCGGAGCTAGGGGCATGTTGTCACGTGACACGTTCACAGCGCTGGATTGTTTGGGTCGGCACGTAAGCGTCCCCTGCAGTCCATCGCAAGGTAAAATGGAGTGGATTTTGAGGTTTCAGACCCTCCACACTGTAAAGGAGCTTCCCCGAGATACACTTCCTTGTTAAGTAAATATATCGTCTTTCGAGATTTTTTTTTCTCGCGATACTATGCCTTTTTCTTCATTGGCTGCGTTTACATGAATGCGACAGTAGACGATCGAATCAAGATTTGACGGTTCTGATTGGTAGCAGACGGGTAGAAGAGAAAGAAGTAGGAACACGGGCTGCGTGCGATTGGTCCCTGCTCAATTCAATGCGCTCCAGTCACATTCGTGTAAATGTAGGCATATTGTGTTTTGCCTTCGTTTTTCTAATCTATTGAAGTGTGTCGCATGCTTCAACTCAATAATCAAGGAAGGATTGCCTCCTTCCGGAAGTAGTTGTCTAAAGTTTGCATTCTCCCTTTAGTAAGGCAACTGTAAATATCCTGTTCGTGAATATCTTACGCCTAGTGTGTACTATCGGGGAAAAATGAAATGCGAACAGAGGAGCGCGTGGCTCGCGGTACAGGCTGCGCCGCCTGGAAGTGAGCCTAGGAGCGAGGGTGCGTGGCCAACTCCGACGTGTTCACGCCCCTCCCTCTGCGCTCCTCAAGCTTCAGCAGTGCGCCTCTTTGTGCGCTGAAAGCTATCACCGTTATCTTTGCTGGCTCAGCGTGTGCGGTGCAAAGAAGCTCACCGCACTCACCGAGCACGCAAAGATAGTGGTGACAGCTTTCAGCGCAATGAGAGGCGCACTGCCGAAGCTGGGGGAGCGCCAATCGAGGGGCGTGAACACATCGAAGTAGGCCACGCACCCTCGCCCCTAGGCTCAATTCCAGGCGGCGCAGCCTGTACCGCGAGCCACGCGCTCCTCTGTTCGCATTTCATTTTTCCCCGATAGTACATATGGCAAAGCATACAGTTCCCATTATTTTTGGAATGCTAGGCATTTCATGGGAGTCGAATATTACTAGAGAGTAAGTAAAATACTGTTTTAGACCGCTACAAAATCATTTCTTTATTTTCACTCGCAGAGATAAAAAACTTGTTTCCAAACACACTCGCAAGTACTGAGTGTGTGATGCGATATGTTCGTCGTGAGATCTCATTGTTCATACATTTGTGTATGGCATACAATCACCCAGGAGACTCATGCTGTTGAAAACGTTCTGGGAGCAGATAGATCCGTTACTGCTGCACGGCCGCCCAAGGGTATTTGTTACTTTTCGAAGACATTCTGGGAGCAAAATATGCCACCCCGTTCTCCACGAAAAGTCAGACTCGTCAGGTTCTGGAAAGGCAAAGCACAATTCGTGAAAATTTCGCTGGGCCGAAGCCTCCTAACCCCCACGCAATCGGCTCCTATACGCTAAAAGGGTGGATTGCTGGGCTAGTTGGTTGTTGAACGACAATATTAAAAGCAGCGCAAAAAAACGGGATAAAAGTAGAAGCAGTATATGGGAAGGACGCTGACTAAAAATTAAATGTTTAATCCAAATTTAACACGCGCACTTTGTCTGGCACATGCACGTGCTCATCTAATCACATGTCTTGTGGGGTCATACACGAAGTAAAATCGAAACTAGATAAATCAAAACTTTGGCTCGTGTAAACCAGTCGCGTCACACGTTAAGACATAATCAAGTGGGTGACGAAACGCGTAAAAAAATAGGAATAATCACTGATTATTCCTTCTACTTTGCCCGGTCCTTTTGCGATGTTTTTAATTATCGTCCTATGCTCTGAATGTTAAAAAATTATTAATAAAAATGTTTTAAATACAATATTGGTCGGTTTTGTTAATGATGGTTCCAAATAGTACGAGAGCGTTAGAAATTTTATTACCTAATTTTCAAATAATAATAAAAATCATGAACGTTGAAAGGAGACGCGCACTGTCTTTTCTATAAGTTAGTGACTATTTTCGCTTTTCGTGGGTTGTGTTCTTTCGGGATGCAGTGCAGTGTACAAGAATATCGGCTTTGTTAAGAGCAAGGCGGTTTTCAACTATACTTAGTTTCACCTCAAAGGACACTGAACTCTCAAAAACCATTTTTTTTTTCAAGTTCGCTCGGCGGCCTCAATATAAAGTTCATCTGCTTCTTTTGCAGGGGTTATGGTGACATCAAAACGCCAAGCTCTGATTGGCTCTGATTGAAAAATAGTGGGTAGACGCCAAAGCAAAGCTGCCTTGAGACCTACCCACTATCCTTTAATCAGGGCCAATCCGAGGTCGGTGGTCTGAAGTCACCACAACCCCCTCAAAAGAAGCAGAGGAACTTGCACTACACATAGACGCATGCTTCATAGTCGCTCCTTATCCGAATTGTGTCTGGCGGTGTAAGCCTTGTGCTAAATAGTTTTTTTTTTTGGCTGAGGAATTTAATTTTTTGATATACTTGTCCTATTCATTACTTAGAAATATCTTTGTGAGTTATGTGTCTTTCGAAGTCAGAGCTCAGCCGACGCTACGAGTCTATGGGGCCAGTCAGGAAGCGCCAAAATCGAAAAGTCCCGGTGTTCGTCTACTCTCTTTGCGTGTGCCCGCAATCATCAGTTAAGCTTATCAAACGCGCTGAATGCGCCTGGACCTTGCGCTTTTTGTTTACGTGTTTGTATTTCAATTTACAGAATCCTTCCACTACTCTGCAGCGTATGGAGAAACGAGTCATAGAGGTGCCGGAATAGAAAATATATGCGCGTAGCGCTGCTGTCGACTACTGGAAGCTCTATAGGTGGCTCAAGCCGCCGTTCTATTAAGATAGTTCAATCTTATCTATCTATTCATTGGAGCAGAAAGCGGCTGTGGCTAGGTGGCTGCTCCCTCTTCTCTTATAAAGAAACAGCAACACCAAAACAATCCCAAGGGATACTCTCGCGCGAGTCCTCTGGCCGCGCTTCTCTAGGTCATCTAGTTTACTATTCTACGCCAGTGCCATACATCGAAATGTATTAGGGTCCCCATGAGCAAGTGTGCCTCATTTGTCACTACAATGTACATATTCTAGAACACCGCTTTGAATTTCGCTTTGAAAACTTTATTAGAGAATTGGGACGTATCAAAACTTAACACTTTACAGTATATATATATATATAGTGGGCAACAGCCCAGCCGAGCGGCCATACCGGGATGTCCGGAATCCACGCAGTATTTCGCCATCGGTGAGAAACACCGATGGCGAAATACTGCGCCGATAGCTTAGAGGAAATCCACCAAATGTCGTGAGAAGCCTATCAAATTAAAAGTTTCAGATAACTATGTACGTTCTCGGAACCATTCACTGTAAGTTCAAACTAGGTGCGTTTATATGTTCCTGTAACCGTAGAAGCTCTGATCATCAGGTGTAATTTTTTTTTTTTGCGTAGAATGTTGGGACGCGGTCACTGGGCGCCATACGCATTATGGTAGAATTAGCTGTAGTCTTAAATACAACGGTAATTGCTCATTTTGCTTTCCGCAATAATGAATACAATGCTCGTGATGCAACAAACGAAAAACCGTAGTCTCATGGAGAATGTTATCCGGAATAAAAAAAATATGAACAACAACCAATGTAATTGTTTAAAGCCTCGTTTCTGTGAGCGGTAAACACAATACAAAGAGGCTGTTTTATATTGAAGCTTTAGCCAAGTTTTAAAAACATAGAAGTTTCCCTGAAGCATATTTTTATCCCTCATGTATATCAATCTCCAAAAAAGCTCCTTTATGGTAAACACGTTACGTCTGATATTTTGATTAAACTTAGAAATTTCTTTTTTATTATTCTTTACATTATTATTTTACAAAATGTGTGAAGCTTTCAAAATGTTGTTTTTATTACTTTCCCTTTGATCATGACTATTTATTTATTATTTTCTTATTTATTATTACACTTTTCTGAGGATGTGCATAAACTTATATATAATTCCCAGCCTGGCTCGTTTTTAATTTAGAACAAGTAAAGAAATTAAAAAAAATATTCCTACCAAGAACGACCTTCTAATAATTTCACATTTTTTAAAAAAGTGGCCATAGCGCATTACACTGCGATATTTATGGGCTATTAATTTAAAGCTCCGTAGTTTATTGAGGTAGAAAAGGCCGCTGGAGCAAGCCAAAATCGGAATATAAATTTCAGGATCTGTTTTGCTTTATTTACACGCGCCTTTCACGATCGTTCACTTGTGCTTGTTCTAATATTTAGAAAGGGGTCTTCGCTACTTCATTTATTTACTGGTTCCATATAACTTTAACTTTAGACTTTGTGCGTAATAAGTATCAGATTTTAGGAAATGTTAATGAGAGCAAGGGTAATTTCTGCCTGCCTAAGCCTAGGGTAACTTCCCAAGACAGCATGTGTAGTCGTAAATTCCGATGGTTTTCTTAGTTTGATCTACCATGAGCTTGAATAGAGCCTCCAAATGTTCTCGGACCTTCCATTGAATTTGCATAAAATGTAGAATCGAGCCAATCGAGTTTTCTTGAAACATCTCCTATGCTAGGGCGAAGTTAATGACAGGACAAAAGAATTTACTTCGTGTTTTCCTAGTCCCGGCGTTCTTCGTAATTAAGTTCAATTAGAAAAAAAAATGCGTCTTTATTTTCTGGATTATTTTCAGGTTTGCCCACCCCATTTAGATTATATCTTAAAGGGCCGCCATGCTGGAGCCATTCATAAAAACGGTGTGACGCAGTTTCGAAGAAAAAAAAAAGAAAAGCATGTGTATCAACACTTTCAGAACGTGCAGTGCTGTAAGCTCCACACTAAGCACAAATAAAGGTTGGGTGCACTAATCTTTCACGGTGGCGAGCAGCAGCGTACGCAGCATTTCATTTGGAGAAGAAGGGGGGGGGGGGGGGTATTTGCACCCCCCCCCCCCAATAAAAAAAAGACTGTTAACGGTTTTTGTGTGCTTCCCTTGCAAACGCAGGACTCCGAATAATTCGAATAAAGTTTCCACATCGCCGCTTGTGACAAGAGGGAAGTTCTATAGCTTATTCTGCACAGATATAGTAGTAATGTGATGAATAACCGTACATTCGGAAGTGATCGTTGGAGACGGATTAAGGGCCGTTAAAAGTATCCCTTGGCGGAGAGCAGCATGCGATTTCTATTCGTGATTACATTTTAGAAGCAAATATCAATCGAAACATTTTGGTGGACAATTGACCGCCTGAAATCTGCCTCACTTTTCAGACGAATTACGCTCCATCTTAATTTTACATGGTCTTGATACGTAACGTTACACCACACAGTATGATCAACATTCCATCTCATCAGTTTGTCTGTTAACGCTCAAACGTTCGAAGCGAATTCGTAAGAGAAGGTTAAGTCAATGTAAGCGTTCATGTTAGTGCAAATTTTCGAAACAGTTAATCAACGTCAAAAGTCACCCCTGGGTGTGAGCACTGTGTGCAGTTCTTTAGCGCCCCTTCCTGGGTGGACACGACACACGCTTTAGGTTAACGGTTTATTAGCCTAACATGCTGTTTCGGCGACAAGCCTCGTGTCAATGTCTAGACAGTTGGCGGGCGGCGCGCCAACTTTGTGCCTCTGAGGGTCAGATCAATGGCTGCTACAACAGAGTGTCCACGTCTCACGACTGCTCACAAGGCAGCCGCTGTTGGCGGCTGCCTTGTGTGCCGCAGTCTGGGGCCGGAGGTTGCGTTCATCAGCCGCCAGCAGCGTCGTCGCTGCGAACCTGCAGCTCCGGGCAGGTAGCCGCGTTCGTCCTGGGAGGCTGCAGCTCTGAGCGGGTAGCTGCGTCCACCCCCACGGCCCGCTGTCGTCCGCGGGAGGCTGCAGATCCGGGCAGGTCGCCACCTGGCGGCGGCAATCGAAGCCCCGCGGTCAAGAGTCAGGCGGCCGTTGTCGATCGAATACCGTGAAGCCGAGAGCCCTAACTGTCGTCTGTACGTCCCTTTTGTAGCTTGTCATCCTCCGGCAGCGCCGCTGTGGCTACGAGATTGTCCCCTTCAGCGACACCCCTTCGATCTTATCATCACATGGCATCAGCAGCGCACGATGCGGTGGGAGGGAACAGGATGAACTCCCACAGCATAGATGGGCAGGTCATACATTTCTCGCTTGTGGGGCTGTGGCACGCCGGTAAATCTTGAGGCGTCTCAATGCTGAGAATCAGCGCCGCCGTCATTATACGGAGGGCGTGATCAGTAGGAATTTTTTGTAGATTGAATACGCAAGAGCTTTTCTTCCTTAGCCGTCAGTTTAAGCGCAGATTGACCACGCTCCCGAAGGGCCGCAATCCTGAACGTACCATCTACGAAAAGCCATTATTATTTGAAAGATCCTCCGCATGTTCAAATAAAACTTGACGAAAACAATGGTTTCACGTGTCGTGCGCTTTGAGGCACTCGCAGGGGCATTTTTGCCATTTTGCCACTCGCGTGGCCACAGTATTTTCTCGCCGATTGCCCGGTGCCTCTCAAACACTCACGCGAATAAGTCTAGGAGCAGAGGATGCTATGCAGAAGCATACGGTGTAAGCTGCGCTGAATTTAATTTAATTACTCAACTGTATTGGCGACGCGGGCGAAAAATGTTGAAAGAGGGGAAAAATGAAAACAAGAGTAGAGGAGGTTGAAACGTTTGCTTTCAATGCTTTCGGTAGGCTCCTCATTTTATGCCATGCTTATTGCTGAATTCGTCCGGTTCTTCAAAACAGCGAGTTTTATGCACTGTAAGAATAATACTTAATAGAAGTTGATTTAATGTGAGAACCGTGCGAAAGAAAATACTGAAATAGGGGAGATACAATTTTTTTACGAAAAAGTTGCACATGAAAGACAAAACGAGGACAGCACGGAAGATGTTTTGTCTTTTATATGTAACTCTTTCGTAAACAATTGTAAGCAATACCAACGAGCTACTTAAAAACAGTAGGTTGGATTGCTGTTCGTTTAGTAACAAGGATATGGCTGAGTGTCTGTCAGTTTTATCTTTGAAAAATCGAAGCGAAAGTTTGAGAAAACGACTTTACATGGATCAAAAGATAAAAGGGAAACAGGAAATCTCCCTATGAGCCGACGTCACCAAAACATAATATCGTCAAAACAATAAATTAGATTGTGGGCTCCTATAACATTTATTTCAGTGACAAGAAAAAGAGCTTCCTAACGAGAAAGAAAACAATGTCGACTTTATTCGCTGCCAAGTGTTTTTTACTGATATCAATGCCACATGCCTCCAAAATGTCAGTTATTGTTTCGACGATATTAGGCTTCAGTGGACTCATAAAAACATTTCGTCTTTCTCTTCTGTCTCTTGAACCATGTAACGTCATGCAGGGATGTGGTCGGGCCGAGCCATTCTGGACTACCCATTGGAGCAGCCGAAAGTCCCTTTTGGGAGAAGTAAAATACCTTTTGGAGGACGAGCATCTTCTTAATTCACATGTATTGTACTGGGAATACAATACTGATATTTGTGTGGTGGTCAACTCAGCAAACAGACAATGCCTTTTTGCTGAGCCTCTATTTCAAAGAAAACTGTTTCGCGTCCTCAAACACTGAACGTTTTGCTGTTTAGTGTGTTTAAAACACCAGACAGAGTAACAAGAATGGCATGACGAGAGCTGCTATTCGTTTAAGACGCTCCATTTCAGCAGTTTTTTCTTTTAAATTTCGAATTAAAACTTTGCACATGGCAGTAAAACACCCTAAATATGTGCCTCAAATAACTTTTGGCGAAAACTTATGTATAGAGAGGTCAAACGTAGGTGGTACATTTGCGAGGCCACTGTACAAGACCGGGTCAAAAATAAATGAAGTCGGAATTTCTTTTTCACGCAATATTTAATAATTTATCCAGCTACAAGGTTATATAAAGGTGAAGCTCTCTTTAGAAACACAAAACATGTTATATTGCAATGACAAGGGTAGTTCTTAGTTGTTTCGGTGAGAAAAGACTTCCGTTCCTCACTTTCGATGGAAACCAAGAAAGCAGTTTCGGATTCCCTGCAGGCAAAGGCCAACGTTGCACACTTCGCACATCCATCGTGTGCGGCACGGATTATCTTTTGTGCTGCATAACGCACACCTTCTCGACGTGGAGTGGACGGGGACATGGCTAACCTTGTTATAGCGTAGGTCTTGTGGCACATATTGGCTTGTAGGAAGGGAGTTCGACTTTTCGCTTTTTATGCGAGTTGAGGTCTGGAGCACCCATGAGTCCTTCCGCGACTTGCAATTTCAATTCTTTCAACGGCGGAACACGCTCCCCCGCCATAATTTGCATGAACAAAATGTGGGTATTCACAACACTCACATCCATGAAACGAAAATAAATTCTATGCCACCATTTTTTACTTTTGCGATCCACTTCATAATACGATTTCAGCATATCTGCCTTATCGACGTAGCCCATGTGTTGGTTGTAGTCGATGATGACTTGTGGACAGGGAACGTCTTCATGTGCTCCGTCTTTTCGCTTCCCCTTCACGATTTTAATTTTCGAAGGAGTGTGAGCATTGGATATCATTGTCACACATCTCTTGTCTTTCCACTTGAGAACGAGCATTTTGTCATGAGGGCACATCCTCCAATCGACGTCCCCTTTTTTTGAAACCGGCGTCTGCACAGAGCTGGGGTAGTTGCTTGCGATTAGCTCGCACTGTTCCTGTAGCATAGATCTGAGCGCTTGTGGGATGTTCGACCAGAGGTACAGATGAGAAATAATTATCGAAATAAACGTGATAGTTTTGTATCTTTACCTTTGAGGCATTCGGTGAGGTCTCGTACAACTCGCTCGCCTAGACCTTGCTCGCTGCTTTGGTTGTCTGCCTTACCCGCATAGATTTGGAACTGGCAGACATAACCCGTCTCGTCAGCACGGGTCCATACCTTCTAGCCACGCTTGATGGGCTTTATGGGCATATATTGCTTCTGCGCAGACCTCCCTTTGCAACGAATCATGAATTTGTCGATACTCCGGTTTCGGAAGAGGGAATAATTCGTGAAAAACGTTTGCGCCAGTTTATCAAGCAGTGGACGCACCTTGTAGAGCTTGTCGAAGCCCGGGGATCCACGGTTTGGAGCAACGGCATTGTCGTTGAGGTGGATGCTCGTCAAGAGTGCCCCGAACCGACGCATAGATATCTGCCGTGAGACAAAAGGGTCTCTCAGGCATTCGCGGTTTGACCAGAAGTCCCTGTAGCTTGGTAGCTTCTTTATGCCCATAAGCATGTTGATGGCCAGGAATGTTTTCATCTCTTCTTTATTAGTTGGGGAAAAAGCTTTCCCCGTCTGCGTTGCGTAAATGTTCGTCTGAAAGACAATGTCCTCAACGAAGTCTTCAGGAACTAATTCCAGGAAGACGTCCGCCGGCCGCTTATCTTGAGCCTCAATTTTCGAGCTGTCTTGCACGCCATATGCTTCAGCACATGCGTTTAGTTGTGGCCTGTAGTCTTTTTTTACCCAACGCTTCGCCGATGAACTTGTTGGTGTGGTGCACGCCATGAGGTCATCGTCGGAGTCCTGCAAGCTTTCCGACTCAGATGGTTCCGCATCACCTCCTTCTATCTCTGTTTCGTCATCCGTGGTAGATTCTCCGGATTCATCGTCTGAAGGTATATCATCAATAACGACGTCGTGTCTTCTCCGACCATAGAACGACTTCGACCCAAGTTCCATTCCTATAGAAAGAAAAAAATATTTGATTTTTTAAATAATCAAGTGTTTGGTAAGTGAAAATATATGCCTACATTATACAAAAAGTATGAGTGAAATACACGAACCGAAAGCTGTATGCTTATTTTGTAAAATTTACTATCAAGCAATGTTTCAGTGCAGTGGTTTCAAAAATGAACCACCGCAGTTTTTTGCCAACCGAGAGCTTAGAAATTAAGATTGATCTTAGTAAGAAGTATTACTTGCCTCTTGAGGGCTGATACAAGAACTTGCAGAACAATTTTCTATATTATGGCACGTGAAACATAGGGAGTGACGCGTTGATGTGAACAAGTGGAAGCCACGTGTTGAACAACGTTTTTCCAGCGTTCTAAAGAACACCAGTGCGAAATTATGGAAACGCTTAACGCTCCTGTCGAGAGAGGGCGCCACCGACCTGCAATGCCCGGCGGTTTCAAATGAAAACCACTTTCCGTTTAGCTCCTGGGCGATGTTTTTTTGGTGGTATCATCTTGAAATTACAATCCCTCAAAGGGTTAATTATCCACAGGAATGGCGCTTCATATAGTCTTGTACTAATGATAAATTTTAGTAAGCGGACGCCAATTCCAGAAAAATTCAATTTGTCCGTTGCTAAAGAAATTTAGTTTGATTTTAAGCTTTATTGACGACACATATTAACTAAATGTGAAATTTATAAAAAAAAAATTAAGCCTTAGAAATTATGTTGCTGTAGCTAGTATCTTTTTTAAATCTCAGATTTTAAAGAAATTTTCATGGCGAAACAAATATTCAATGTCTTAAAATATGCAATATCTTAAAGAGTCGCGTGACCGCGACTCGTCAGGATATTGCAGTTCGTGTATACTTCATTTTGTATTCTATATGCATTTAACTCGTGTTCAGTCCGGTACGGCAATATTGCAGGAAACGAACAATGAAAATAACTTGTCAGCATTTACTACACAAACCATCGATTCATCGAGCGTATTTTAGTTCCTGAATGTTCCAATAAACAAAAAAAGAAGTTTTTGCTGAGCTTTGTCTTTATGCTGTAGTTACGGATTTGGTGCATATAATATTTTCTATTAGAAAACTAATTCTGTATTAAAATGTAAGATGAGCTGTTAATATCAGTGGTTTTATAATAGATACATAATTAAAAAAAAAATAAACGGAAGTTCTTGTGCCGATCTCTGATGGACACAAGTATTTTAACGCGATAGCGTCAAGGAGCTTGGTGCTCGCCGGACTTGGTGCCGTGTCAGAAGAGTAGCTGCCGTGACTCGAAAATCCTGATTGGTCGACAGGGTTATGACGTCACAGCCACATGACCTAGGCCCGTATATTTGAAGGAGCGTACAGTTTCCATCCGTCACGGAGGAGCGGAACTTTTCCCTCCGTCGCCGAGACCGCCCAGTAGCGCTGCGATCTTGCCGTCAATGTTCCTCTGTGAACAGACTTTAAAGTAATCCGTTACAAGTAACGAGATTATTCGTAATTAATTACTTTTTAATTTAGTGATTAATCCGTTACTGTTTGAAAATTTAATTTGTAATGTAATTGCATTACTTTTTCAATAACGACTTACTGAAATTACTCATTACAATTCTTCCGTCTTATCGAAGGGAGAAATAGAGTGGAAGAAGGGCGATGCAACGGCCTTCGCGTTTTTAGCATGGTAACACAAGGTTCGCTAGCGAAGAGAGTGCTGGTGAGGGAAAGGGAAGGAATTCAAGGGAAGCACGACAGCCCAACAAGAGCCCGTTTCTGGACTCGTTGGTACGGTCAGCCAGGCTGGGAAGATTCCATTGCCTACATGAATGCAACAGGCTTCGACGTCTTGGAAAACGAACGAATTGCTTCAAACGTACAAAAAAAAAAAAGCACAAAACTTATGTACCGAAAAACTCTCGCGTGGGGTTCGTGTCGAGTAGGACCATGGACACAGTGACCGTGGTGCATACGCTTGCTCCCTTCCTCCCCCCCCCCCCCCCCCCCCCCCCGCGTCCAACCTTCTTTCTTCCGCAACCCTCCGCGCCTCGTCCCCCGAAAAAAAAAAAATCGTGTTTCTTTGTCGTTGTCACACGAAACCGTCATTTGCTTGTCGATGTTTCTGCCTACACACACGCCCCCCCCCCCCCCCCCCCGCAAACATAGATAACGCTCTAATGAACCCTCGCCCATGCTCATCCTTGACAGCGCTGTGAATGAGACTGGCTGGACCAACCAGCTATGTGGCTTCTGTCACTTCGCACTAGCGGATGTGTAAGGCAGAAACATGAGAGGTACGATGGGAGCAGTTTATTAGAGCAGAAAAGATATAGCATCAAACCTGCTGTCAATTTAAAGAGCAGCATTCGACAGCTGGCAATAAGCTGGCCGGGGAGCCGAAACGAAACGGCTTGGGACATTGAACCTGAACCCATGTTCTTAAAAACAAGAATGCTGGGGTTTTCGTCAGTAAATTTTGCCTGCTGCAACTTAAGCCGCATTTTTAAGGAAAGAATACACAGCCCTAGTTTTATGAGAATAAACAGTGACTCACTTAGACACTGGAGTTGAAAAGCCCCTTGTAAACGCGTGAAAAGCATGGAAGCTTGTTGTTTACTGCAAATTGTGCTTTTTTTAAGAGTTTATAAACGGCAAAATTAGTTCAGTTGAGAGATTGCGCAAAAATATTTCGTGTCTTGGTTCTGATAAGTTTGGTGATCAAGAAAGAAGACCAAACGAGTCATTCAATCTGATGACAACCTTCATCAAGCGGGAGTCCTTGAAATGTACCCAGACGCAAGTACCGTATCTTGGTCTCACAGCCAGTCAGCTTTAGTAGGTAAATTATCCCCATTTTAGGCAGCATGCAGCAAAAATTAAAAAATAATTGAATGGTGTTTTGAAGCTCGACGACGCCAAACTCCCATTAATTTAAATGGTGTGAGTGCCTCCACCGCCCAAGTGCATTCGTCTCATGTTCAAGCGATATAGTTCTGTCCTGGTTGGACATAGCAAAACTCGCTTATCTCGAACACTGTTTAAGTCCTTTAATACTTTACAGATTCCTTCTCCTAAAATTATCAACCTAAAATAATACGTAGATAGGTGTTTTTTTTTAAATTTTAATTTGGCCCAACATTTTCCCTCGCAAACACTCAATATATTGTGTCTCGTTGTTCTTTGGAGTAGCACAAAAGTAATCTAGTAAAGTAACAAAGTAATGCATCGATTACTTTTTACGAAGAGAAATTAGGCAATGCTAATTTATTACTTTTTAGGCCATGCAATTGAAATTGTAATGAACTACTTTTTTGAAGTAACGGGCGCAAGTCAGTCTGTGAAGAATGCGTACACCGCCGCGGGGCCGCCACTACGCCGCCGGAGGAGAACAAGTGTGCGATGGATGCGGTGCCGTCTCCATGTGCGGGGCGCTCTTCAGAGTCGTCGTCTTCTACGAGTTCGGATGCCGCATCTAAGTCTGCTCCTGCTCAGCGACGGGGTCGGCCACGTAACACTGAATCTGAGAAGGCGGAGAAGAAGGCTAGACGCTCAGAGGCCACGCGCCTCAAGCAGGCCGAGGATTTAATAACGCTATCGCGTTCCACTCTTAAAGACGAATCTTAAGCGTATTCAGACTTTTTTGTTTTGTTTTAGTGACGCTTGAAGGTCGGTCCTACTATCTCAGGACAATGCGAACGACACGATTCTGTACTTTTCCCAAGGCATCAATGCGATTCTTTTTTTTTTTAATTTGCGAGTTGAACGAATTTTTACGTTAGTAATAATTTGATGTATCTTGTTTTTTATTATGCGACACGTGCGCGCTCTAGAATAGTGATATATATATTATTAGGCGATTGTGCTGCGACAATGCGAGATATGTGAAATCGCAACCTCTACGTTACGGATGCCGCTTCTCCCCAATGCACTAGTGCGCGTCGTGAAGCGCACTCATTCAAACTAACCCGGCCGAGCAGACCACGACGAATAAGAATTTAGAAATATGGCGGAGCTCCCGACTGCTGTCAGTATTCGATACTAATATCAAATTCAATATTTTGTTATTCCAAGTAATGAAGTAATACCCGAATATTCAGATATTTGCACGATCCTACCCTAACGATCCGGCAGTGTGGTGGGGCCTGGGCTATTATTTTCAGTGTTCTGAAAGCAAAATTCACTAGAAGCACAAGGTTGCCGTAAATTTCTCACATATTGACGAAATGTAGCACGATTCGGCAGGGTAAGCACTTTGGTGCAAGTTGGCGAAGTTTGGTGCCGGAACCACCTTCAAAGTCATGTTCTCAAACTTTCGCGTTCTATCAGAAGGGCGTATCATATTCTCACGGAGTTTCGGCTTTCTGCGATGCGTATTTTTATTTACGCAGGTCGCGTAACACCGCTTTTTTTTTTTTTCTCACAAACACTTGGCAATATCCTTGCCCTTTTTTTATGAACTGAATTTTGGAAAGACAGCTGATATATATTACCGCAGTAACGTTTGGAGGTGGGCTAGTCGGTGGTGCAAAGTAAACATATAATTCAACAGCAAACAGGATGGCACGTGACCGTGACGATATTCTACACGTGGGATTATTCTCTTTCCTTCCTTTGTCTTTTTGTGTTGATGTGTTTTAAGGAGACAAAAAAATAGAGTAAGTCGTGAGTCAGCGCTGTGTCTGTGTCCCTTCTACTTGTCTTTCTGTTTTTTGTGCTGTTTTAATTCAATTTTACTATGATATATAATATATTGTTTCTTCAGAAACGTGAATGCAATGACATCATGTACTTGCTATTTTGAAAAAAAAAATATTACGATGCTTTTGTTAACGTAAAAATTAACTACGCATCGCCGGACGTTGAATCTCCACCAAAATGTAGCGCTAGCCGTGCAAACCAGATGCCAAAGTTTTAAAAAATTTACAGTTATCTTATTCATAATAAATAAGCGATTTTTTATATTTTAATGAGAAAATAATGGCTTACGAAGGCCAGGTATACTTTGGGAT